AGTTGTGACCAGTTCTTAAAGGTTGTAAAATGTCCTTTATGTGTAGGTGTTAAGTGCACTAATTTTGGAATAAGAAATTAGATTATCCTGAACTAATTTTCAGATCTGTCGTGTCACTGAGACTGCCTACATTTCGTTGTGGTGCTTTTTTAAAATCATGACAACAAAAGTGTAAAGCATATTTGTTGTATCATTTTTGTCTATTTGATATCCTTTACAGCTCACAGACTGTGTTCACTTCTAATTTCTATTCTGTTGATAATAATTTACAGTCTATTTGTTGTACCACAGGGGGAAATCCTAGACTGAAGAGATGGATAAAAAGCAAATGATCATATTTAACCATTAAGTCTGCATAACTTCATTTACCTTGTTGATCTGAGTCAGCAGCCCAGGACTTGTTGTAACACGGTTTTTATTTTCCTTCTCATAAGCTCAGCTCAGTCTGCACGTGATTTAGCTTTAGGTTTTGTTGTAGCGTTGCATGCAGATAGCAGCCAACAACCGTAATGAGGAAAGCCAGAGTTTACTGCTGTGTTGTTAGGAAGGATTTTAATGAGCCGGAGCAGAGATGTCTCTTCTCTCCTGTCCCCTCCACTGCAGAAATGTCAACGTCCTCTCTCTAATTTGTCGTTTCTACAACTGAGCCGTCATCTGTTGAGGTGTTCATTTCATCCAGCTGGCAGCTAGTTCAGACTCTGGGAGCAGAATTAACATAGGGCCTTTTTTGGAATAACTGGACACTTGCTCATTTCTCATTCTTGGCTTTGTCGCTTTTATTTTGATAATACAGAGTAGAAGGAGCAGACATGCTGGGAAATAAATCAGAGGAATGCCAGACAGTAGGGGTAGCGCTGGTTTGGATTCAAACAGCGACTACATTGCATGTGGTATGTTCCCATCAAGCTTGGTCATTGGGTTACCCCCACAAAATTAAGCCCAAAAGTTCTCCAGTCTTGTCTGATCGTTATCAGAACTTGCTGCATGAAAAGGACAGAAAGTAACACTTTTGAGCTTGTTTGCCTGTGGTGTTCTCTCTTAAGATAAGGCCATAACCCTCCTCAACATATCCCAACTTCACCAGTGGCTTTTATCTTTTTATTTGCTTTCCGTGTTTGTATTTTCTGTTCGCATGTGTTTTTCATGCGTTTCCTTTTTAGATTATGAAGTCAATTTTCTGTAATGTTTGTGCATTTACTTTTGCTTGTTTTTTCCTGTATTTTATTGTTCATTGCTGTAGTGTAGTTTTATTGGGGGGGGGGGGGGGGTGCATGTGTTTTTGTTTAGGACTACCATTTTCTGCCCTTTATCTGATTTTCACAGGGGGGTGTGGTAGTTCGGTGGTCAGTCTTGCAATCCTGAGGCTGCAGGTTCGATCCCAGTGTAGTGAACTAGGCCTGATGTCAAAACCTTGACCTTAGGCACCTTATGGGACAGAAACTGTCATTTCATTGATTTGAATCCAGAAATACAGGTTGACCCATCCTGAGACTTTCTTTCTTAAATTAATCAAGTGAAAGAAGACTACTTTCGATTATCATTACTATTTTACAAATGTTTGATAATCAAATTGTGTTAGTTCAAACAATGTTTACATGTTGAAGTGAACTACTCATTTTTAAATCAACTGTGAAACAGTAATAACGATTTTTAATCCTCATTCAAAGAAGAAATCAGGTTAATGATGCATTGTCTGATTTTCTGTCTTCAATGAGCAAGTGTGTAAGTTGGTCTTAACTACACCAGGTTGCATTAGTCCTGCGTTAAACACCAACCTTTTGTGAGAGTTCACTTGCTGTTGGTACCCCTGCAGAAGGGAGCAGCCAAAAGAAAAGCAACAACAACAACTGAATGCTACAGATGTGGTTTGGGGGCAGTCTCTTTGGCTTCCTCTCTCCCCCTGTGTGCCTCCTCGTCACCACTCCCTCCGTGCATGTTGCAGCAGAGCACAATAAAACAAGGACAGAGCAAGCAGAAATGTAGGCAGCAGCTGTAACTCAGCTTTTAATGGCTCTGCTTGCTTAAAAGCTATTATCTCTTACTTCTTTTGGCATCTTTTTTTAAAATTCATATCCATTTATATTTGTTGAAGTGTTTAAACTCCAATCCCCTTGTATAGCTTTCCCGATCACAGCAGCAAGAGTGTTGTTTTTATTTATTACAACAAGCTCTCTCTATTTCTGTTTCTATCTTTGTCTCTCAGATCCCTTTTGGTTCTCTAATTAATAAGCTGTGTAAAAATACCCCGTAGTAAGCATTAATCCCGCCCCACTGCAAACCCCACCTTCCCTCAGGAAATGTTTACACACACACACTTGCTCTACTCTGCACAAGAATACTTTTCTAGAAACTCTTTGTTGACTGGAACGCACAGATTGTACTTGACAAATTTAAAGGAGTGATCTCTTGTGCACATTTCGGAGTGATATTTAAGTTAATCCATAGTTCTGTGACCAGATTTTTATTTTATTCGTATTTTTTTATAAACTGACCAAATTAACAACTGTTACTGCTTTTCATATTACTGAATTACAATAATAAATCAGTGAATGTTAAAGGCACACATGCATGGCAGAAGTGGTGCTCGTAATCTCCTGGGTCTCAGAGAAAATACATTTTCATGTCTGAAGCAAGATATGGGGGATCTCTTTCTTGCTGATGCAGCCGTGAATCTGGTCGAAGTTCGTCCACAGTTGCAAACTGAAGACAAAATAACTGAAAAGTTTCAGATGTTAGACAACACAGTGAAGCATTTCTTGGTGAGGCACAGAGTTTCCGATGAGGATTACAGCACAACAGATTAGACAGGTCATTGTCTTGGGCTACAAAACACATTTAAAACAAGTTTTGTAAAATGGTAGCTGTAAATGTTTACAAAAATAAGATGCGTACAATCTTTTTCAGTAAGTATAAAAAATGCACAATGAATTATACGGCTTGTTTGTTGTTTTTATTATGATGAAGAAATAATTAAGAGTTGTTTTAATTGAGATATGTATTAAGGAAATTATTGCAGTCGTCCCTCGTTTATCGCGGGGGATCCGTACCCTGAAGCCCCGCGATAAATGAAAAACCACGATGTAGAAATAGTAGTACAAGTAGTACGTAGTAATTTATTTTAGTATATACACACATACATACATATATATATATATATATATATATACGAGAAGGCATTTTAAACCCTTTCTACACTCTTGCAATATTCTAAATGATGTTTCTAAATGCTCTAAAAGAGCACAGAATGTTACGATTTCAGCTCTTTGCCACCGGCTTCACTCTTGGCCACGCCCACTTCTCGGAGATCAACTGATCTGCTGCAGGATGAAGTTATTTCACAGCTGTGGGCTGCACACAGGTGCCAAATCATTGAAAACAATTTATTTTAAATAAAAAATACATGCCGATCATGCGGCTCATCCTTCAATCAGCCATTGTGTGTCATGTCCAAGCTTACTTTGAAAAACCGCGATAGAGTGAGTCCACGAAAAACTAACTGTGAAGTAGCGCGGGACTACTGTAAATGTTACATTTTGAATAGGTTGCATCCTTTATGGCGGAATTTACACCACAATTTTCTAATGATCCAAACTTGAAGATTTTCAAATTAGAAACATTTTTTTTGTTGTTGTTGTTTTTCTTAATAATAAATGTTTTTTTTTTTGTTTGTTTGTTTGTTTTTCATAGCCTTGTTCAGCCACTTTGCCAGATTGTGCTGTTCCTATGCATGTACAGCATGGATGCTTGTTACAGAATCAGTCTGGTTTATATTCTGAGAACCAGTTTAGTCTGGATCTGAAAACAAGGAATGGAATTTCTTCACACATCACAGCATCACATGCTCCGCAATGTTTATATCTCTAGATCTGGACCTTTTAACTTAAAATGTGAGTTACTGTAATGAGAGAAACTGCAGGAGATGATTGATTGCAGAGACAAATGCAACTGAAGTGTGAAGGGGACAAGTTTTCACCTTGGCAAAATCAAAATGCTGACTGCAGCAAAAGTCAGCTTTGTACAAAGAAAGAGCAATCTGTGTTCACGTTCTAACACTGTGAATGCATTCCTTGGATGAGGCGTTAATCCTATCCTCTTTTTTTTTTTTTTGTACGTTTCATCTCTGGGTCCGTTATTGTTTTACTTCTGTCTTTCTCAACTTGAGCACCACGCTTCACCGCTCAGCTGAGCTTTATCAGCCAGAACAGAACAGTAGGTTCTGAGTGTTGCCCGGTCATCTGACTGGAGCTAACCCCCTGCAACAGCCTGGGATGGCATCTGCACCTGACCCACTCAAAAACCAAGAACAATACCTTCTTTTTTTGCTGACTTAAGTAGAGGCACTTCTTAAGGGGCTACATTTTCTGATCCTTGATGTCTGACAAACACTTCCTCAGGCCTAAACACCAACAAATCACAGTAAAGTCAGAGTAGTTTCATTGTGTCTCGGTCTTACACTTTATTACTTTTGAGCTATGTAGAAATATCCCAAGTTATAATAGAGGATCAGCAACAAGACAGATTCAGGTCTGACTGTATAAGAACCACAGTACCAATTACTTTTACTGACATGACTCTGAGCAAATCTCATGAGTATACTGGTCAAAGTTCAAAGGCATCGACTAACTTAATGTGTTTGCCAGCAAGTAATGTTCACACATCCATGCGTTCTGAATGTAGGATCACATCTCAACTGTACCCACTTTCTTAACCTACATTTTAAACTTTACAAATAATCAGAAAGTGGAAAAAAATGAAATATGTTAGTAATAGTAAAGATGGAAAAGTCGGCACACTTTGCTGACACGTTCCATTCATCATATTAAACGGTCATGAGAAAGGAACTTCTGGTTTCGGCTGCTTAATTGTGTTTTCATTGCATTTTTCGCTAAAGTCTGATTTAATTTTTGTGTGTCTGTGTGTGAATTTGTCTTGAGGGTGACAGACGTGCAGAGAGAAATCAGCTCTAACCATTTGGTTTCTTTCTTTCTTCTGTTTTGCAGCTCATAACGTGACCGTGGAGGAGATTCTCTTTTCTTACAAACAGGCCTGTCAGAAACTCACTTGTAAGCCTATACTGAAAGTGCTCATACAGATTCAGGTAAGGATCAACATTACACGCACGCACACTGAAGGAGAGCGCGCAACAAAGTGTAGGATGTTGTCATATTGGGTTAAACCATTGATAAATAATGAAAATATTGACAAAGGCAATTTAAAAAAAGTCTTGTTTTGGTATGAAAGGAGCTTATTAGTCACTCCTGGTGACACATATCAGTGTTTCCTCTAGATGGGTGCTCGTCTCGTCTGTGATTTTTTTAAATTTTTTTGTCAACCGTAAGTGGGGTGGGAGACTGATTGACGGAGACATGTCCTGAGCTGCACAACTCGCTGTTTATACCGACAGTTCTAGAGCAGGGGGGTGGGGGACAGAGACGCATCTGAGCTGCACGCTGTTTGTACAAACAGTTGTTGAGTGTGTGGGGGGAGGGGTTTGGCATGAATGAAGAGGCTGCCTTTAGCTTTTAGCTAGCACACCTGTATTGCGAGCCACTAGCTTAGCGTTACGTCAGTGCAGACACAGGTGGTGGTGGGGGGTGCACGCGGTTTGGTAGACGGGGCGCTTTGTTCTGTATAATGTATAATGGTAGTGGAAACACTGTATTACTGTCCTCGCTGCAAACTTTAAAGCTTCACAGCCCACCTCTCCCCCACCAATTTTTTTTAAAAATTAAATTACATTAAAAAACAAATTCTACTAGTTAAAAATGTTCTTGAATTTGTTGTGGGGTGTCTGTTCTGATTGCATACACTGATAAAAGTGAAGTGAGCTTTATAGGAATGTACATGAAGCTGCAGTGTTTAATTGTTCTCTCCAGCTCATTTTACAATTCAATTCAGTTTATTTATAAAGTGTCAAGTCACAACAGAAGTCACCTCAGATTACATTATCACATTGAATCCATCAAAGCTGCAAGTGCAATCACAAGGGCACACTTCATATATATATATATATATATATTTATTTATTTATTTATTTTTTTTTGCTTTTCACATTCAGAAAAGTGAGGTTTTTAAATTTTCGTTCTTTACATTGGTTGAAGAATGCTCATGTTGAATGGGTTCAGGTTTTACGTTGGTTATTTTCATATATATTCATTATTATTACAAATGATCCAACTGTTACTAGTTGTTACTTTTCTAATGATAGCTGGATAACTTGTTGTAGTAATTAATATATTTTCTGCATTGGTGATTAACTGTTCAGAACAGTTATTTTTAAGTGATGCAACTCATCACAACTATATTTTTGTTAAGAATTCTGTTGTATTTATGCGTTCTTGCTTGGTTAAGATCAAAAAGATCTAGGCCGTACAGCTGAAACTATTGAAGTATTGAAGATTGTGGCACTGGACAATAAGGCTATGGAAAGTAAACAAGTCTTTGAGGTTCTGGTTAATAGCACATTGTAAATGTGTTTTGAACAAAATTAATATGAACTTAATCTTGAGCTTTTTGTCTCTCATCCATCCATGAATGTTGTGAGCGTGATAACTTTAAAAATGAATGAAGTGCATAATTTTTTTTCTGCTATAATCCCTGCCTTAAATACGCTGTGAGTATCTCTCTTGTGAAGTCTGAAGAGGGTGAGGAGGAGAACAAGGAAGATCCACCCGAGATCTTGAGATTTTTTTTGTCTTCTTTGTTGTAAAGGTTGCAGGCAACCACAGATTTTGGTGGATAACCAGATTCTGTGAAGAGGTTATTCGCTGGACAACCTGGACATTTTCCATTAGTCTACCCCTGCATTGGTGTACCATTTGTTTAAGTTGGTTTGAAAATCACTTTGTAATTCTGTAGTTGGATGTAAGGCAACAATGACTCCAGACAAGTGTCATGGTAGTGTTTAATAAGACCTTCATGTGTGCTTTTTTTAAGGCTACAAGTCCCAGCAGACGGTTTTTGTTGGGTTTGGTAGCCCACACAGTCATGCAATCCCTTTGTCTCTGTGTTTCTTCAAATCTATTGAAGGAACCCTTGAGGCTGGTAATTTCTATGGATTTTGTGACTTTGTGTGAACTGATACTCATGTTTTTTGCAGCGCATATACAGTATGTATATATTTTTTGTATTTCTAAAGTTAAAGTGTTGAAGTGTTTCCTCTGTCAGATGTTTTAGTAACAGAGAGCAGAAAAGGAGGAAATGGGGGGCGGGGGCTGGACATGGCCAGACAAAACAAAAAGGCCGTTTCAGACTGCTGGTTGAAAAAAAAAAAACAAGATTATTGTTCACTTTTAACCCAGTCTTGATGATGCATGAAACCTAATATGAAGTTCATACAAACGCCACACACAAGGAAACAAAAAATTTCAAATTGAGCAACTTAATGTGTAAAGAATGGACGATAGGTCAGTTTAGTCATTTGCTACTGAAAACGTTTCTCAACCCAAAGACTAAATGATGTTTTCAACTGCAGCTTAACACTGTGATGTGAATATCCACAAGTAGCTGATATGTTATCCCAAACTCAGCTGACCGGGCGAGTGGTGACTTCTTTTTGAGTAGTTAAATGTTTTATCTGGTGCAGGCTTTGATTTAACGCCATCCCTCACAAGCTTTTGGCTACAAATGCACAAAGCTAAAAAATAAAAAAAATAAAAAGGCTTGATCAGGGGTTTTACAGTGTGTGCACTGCAGTGTCGACAATCAGGTGAATTTACTCATGTCTCTGCTGCAAAATCCAGCCCTGTTTGAATGTCCTGGACTCTGCATAGTGAGTCTGGTGGGAGGAAGGTGGCAGGCAAGCACTCATATTTGCATATAGCATTAGTTATTAGACCCACTATTAAAATTTGTAGACATGGTTGAGGATCTAAACATATCTACAACATAAAGCTCAAAATCTTTAATGGAGACAAGTTTTCACTTTACAGCCTGTCATATCTCATGACACATTTCACATTTTTCTTTGCTACAGTAGTTATTGCTGGAACAGTAGTGAGTGTTGATTCCCACAGCTAAAGAAAAATAATGCCAGTCTTTGTTAGAATGTGACATTTCCATATTCTTTTTTTTTTTTTTCCTGTCTGGAGCCAGGGCAGTCTGTTCTATTAACAGCCACTGTTCATTTCTGCTTAGTCATCCCTGCATTTTGCAGCCACATGGCTGTCCAAGTGAGTGGTGATCAGTGAGAGGTGTTCAACCTTTCGCTAATTTCACCTCCTCCACTCTAAATGCTTTCTTTATTAGGTCCAACTGGTTTCCACATGGGATGCAGTGACCTTCCAGCAGAGCTGTTTAACTGGCGGCCTGCAAGCCAGTAGGGCTGTTGTAAACTATTATTTCAGTAATCGAGTAATCTATCGATTATTCTGGCAATTAATTGAGTAATCAATAACAACATTTGTCAGGTTCTAATACAAATACATGAAAAATAACATTTAAATAAACAGCCCGTTTAATTCCTGTTTTTAAAAATATTTTATTGCTTAAAATGCAAGAACATGTTGAACCTAAAAAAGTTAAATCTGGTCCTCTGGACATTCAAAAACAAACAAAAAAAAAAACAAAGCAAAACAACAAAAAAATGTAGAAACGTTTCGTCTTTCATCCGAAAGACTTCCTCAGTCTGAGGTGCTGTGTTCTGCTGAATACAATTGGCAATCGGCCAATACTTCCATGAGAAACTGATTTTACAGATTTTTTTTTTTTTTTTTTTTTTGAGTTTTAACAGCAATTGTCTAAACTTCATTTATATTTCAGATCACTACCTCATGGCCAGTTAAAATAAGTTTGTATTGTTTCTAGGATATTGTTCAAGGGTATGTTTTTCAATAAAACAAGATTAGAAAATTGAAGGTGCTTTGACTGATTTAAACAGGTAGTGCAGCCATGACAAGGTTTACTTACTGCAAGCCATTAACCCTTTTTTTTTTTTTTTACTAGCACTAATGAAAGAAAATTTGGCATTGTTGAAAAGTAGGTTTTTAAACGTTTAAAACATTCTTTGATTTTAAGATGAAATAAATTGCACAGAAGATTGTTTTGTTTTAACTACATGATGCTGTGATGTACAGTGTATTGATGGTGTTTACCATACAGACATCACAAGTGGAAATGATCAAAATAATTTGAAAGAGCGGCTTGCTTTAGTCCACCCACAACACAAACACTCATACTACCACTCATGCAGTTCTCCATTATGTGTCATGCACTATTTTGAGTTTTGGCAAAGCAGCCAGAGAGCAATCTGCACCAATAAAATCAAATGTATTGGACCGAGGGTAGAGACAGGATTCTTGATCAGTTCAGCCCAATTGTGCATCTGTTTTTATTTACACAGTCTGCAAACAATAAGTCTTAAACAATTTTACACATTGCAACCAGAAACTGATATTTTATGTAGTTTGTAATATCAAATCCTCTCATACTGTTTGTTTTATCCAGGGCAGCTTTTAGATGTATTATGTGTCATATAAGCTCATGTTTTGCGGGACTGTTTGCATCAGGAGCAAGGCTGTAGGATCATTACAGCCTTGGCAGTGAGGCAGAAAGACGGAGGTTACAAGGTTCATCCTAAATGGAGTGAGCAGTCATCTAGAGACGGGGATTTGCTGCTACATAGTTTTGAGGGCAGCACCATGTTGTGTTTTTATGTTTGTGTGGGTGGACAAATGTTTTAACTCGTTTTAGCTGAAGAGGTTAAGTACCACTTTTCAATTGTGGACTACATTGAAGATTGTAAAGGAGCATAACACAGCAATGCATCTTCATGGTTAAATAATCCACACATACGATCAAGACGCATAAATGCAGCTTTGTTTGTTTGTTTGTGTTTAGGTGTGAATATGTTCATTGTGTCACATAAAACTCCAGGTTCCACTCTGGAACATTTTGCTTTTAATTCTGCTTTTACCTGCACAAGTCCGTCTCTTCAAATAAACTTTGGTTTTTGAACAGTGCTTTGCAGTTCAGTTTCCCTCCTACACGCCTCTTCCATTTTGACATTTAGCTCACATTTTGATTAAATTTTATTTCAATTGTTCCACTCTGATGCTGCAAATCAAAAGTTTCATGTCATGGCCACTTCATAAAAGAATACCCCATAAAACCATAAGGAGACTTTTACAGTGAATTAGCTTTAGAAAATTTACTTTGAACTGCACTTGGAACATATTATTTTTGCTGTTTCATTTGAAAGAGTAAAAAGAAAACCAAAGCAGCCTGTTTGGGGACTTGAGTTTGATTAGAAACAGAGAGTGAGGAAAGTAAATCATCTCATCAGTTAGTTTCAATCAGAGGCTTGGTTTGTCATTCTGCCTGTAATGACAAGAACGAGGCAGTCTTATATGTAATTTACTGTCTTATCAAAGCTGCAATCAGTTGGGCTCAGTCAGCAACTCACATTGCCTAGAGAAAATGTTTGTAGCAAAGGTTTGTCTTAGTTTGCATAACATTTGTGCTGCGTCTCTTATAGTGATTTATTGAATCGCTTCTCCTGTGATATGAAAGGTTCAGCATGTGAAAAGCAAAGTCTGCTTCAATAAGGTAAGACACGAAGTGAACTCGTCCTGAAACTCTCATTTTTGTGTTTTTAGGAACTGAAAGACCTGACGCAAAGAAATGACTGCTTAGATTTAAAAGGTAAGCACAAAAAGCATATCAGTCATGCCTGAAGCTGTTTTTAATCTGCGTGTACATCATCTAGTCTGTACGTCCACATTTAATTCTACGATTTTACATTTGACAATTTACAAAGACAATCTGTCATTATTATTTTTCCAGTTTTTCTCTTGTAGGCTTGCTAGCTACATCTTTCACACCTGACCGTTCTCTCAGGTCTGCTGGTCAGCTGCCCTTTACTGTACCAAAAACTAGGTGTAAGCTTAGAGGGAACGAGCTTTTGGAGCACCTGAATTGTGGAACAAATTGCCTTTGCACATCAGACTGACATCCTGCTTAGCTGCTTTTAAATCTTCAATTAAAACTCTATTTTTTTTATTTTTTTTTTGCTTTTGTTACCATTGATTTTTATGGTTTTCTTGTTTTATTCTAGTTTTATTCTTTTATCTTTCTAGTGTTATTGAATTAATTGTACATTTGCTTTATTCTTTTGTCTTTGTTCCATTGAGGAGTTTTAAAGGGCTTTTTAAATAAATTGAATTGAATTTTAATCTGTTCAAATTTGACTAAAACTTTGATTTTCATTATGGCCGACTCCATGATGTTTAAGATTCCCATTACATTTGGCTTCAGAATAAAACTGAATTATCACACGTTCACTGCTGTGTTTTCCAGAGGATACAAGGTCGAAAAATAATTGTTTTAAAACTCTTGCGTGAAAGGTGACAGGAGATATGCACTTCTTGATTATTTGGCTTTTATTTCAATTAGCAAAGTGTTTTGTCGTGTCTTCAGGTGAGAAGCTGGACTACAAAACATGCGAGTCTCTGGAGGAGATTTTGAAGCGAGTCCAATTTAAACTGATCGACCTGGAGCAGACCAACCTGGATGAAGATGTAAGATAACCTCAAAGAACGATCTTCCTCTTGCTTTCAGCATTCAGTCTCGCTGTGCTCATCTTTTCCACTGTTACTATTCTGGCAGGATATGGAGTGTTTGTCATGATCTTGTCTGATTATCCCAGATGTCCACTGATGTAAACACTGAAAGAGATGTTTTGGCTGTATACATGCAGAGATAGATGGTGCTGTAGTGTGAAGCATGAGGTCTAATCTGTTGGAAAATTATTGGATCATACAGACAAAGCAAAATACACAGAACAAGCTTCTTTGACTGGAAGGTTTACATTTGTATGGCTTAAATTTTTATTCTAACAATGTGCAGAAAGGTTCACAACATGACAAACACACAAAACTCGAGCGTTACACACAATAGACACTCACAAAAAACCTGCAGACGTTATATTTTTTGCATGTTATCTGTTTCCGTTTGCATAATTATGTATAAACAAACGGATGTGCAAAAGTATAAAATAGGGAGAAAAATAAATGCCAAAATGTAAAATATGCTAAACTATCAAAGTTAAGATGTGCTAAATCTTCAGAAGTCTAAAAGTTTTTAAAAAAATTATACAAAAGTTGGTATAAAACATGTTTCATCCATCTAAATGCTTGTTTTAAGAGTTAGTGTGTTGAGAACAGAGGATATCACTGTGGGTGTTTTAGTTCAACAGCTGGTGGGTAGAGACTGTTTCTGTGATGTCATATTCTGGTTCTGTAGACCGTAACCTCTGTTTAGAGGGGAGTAGTTCTAAAAGATGATTTGAAGAGTAGGAGTGGTCATTGGCAATCTTTCTGGCCTGCCTCAAGGTCTTGGAGGTGTACAGATCCTGAAGAGAGGACAGTTTGCAACCAGTCACCTTCCCAGCAGAACTATTGATCAGTTCTGATCACCCCTTTGTTCTGGTGGAGGCATCAGCGTACCAGACTATGATGATGTTGAGGATGAGTTCAGTGATGGATTCAGTTGTCAATGCAGTATTAAATATTCATATTTTAACCCAACAGTTCATTTTTTTAATAATTAATTATTGTTTTAGACATGTTTAGGGTGTACTGTTTTTGGAAGACCCCACGAACTGCTAATAAATTCTTATAGTAGCTTTTATTTTTAATAAATCTTAAGATTAGTTCACATTGTATACTTTTCCCCAAATATCCTAATAAGTCTGTCCTGTTTTGTTTATACTTGGTTCACACTGAGGAAAAGGCCTGTGAACTTATTTGGCTATGCAAGAGTTGGAAGGAAGTAAAACTAGAAGTCATCAATAATAATTAGATTCAGTGCTAAAAGGAATATTCTGAGCATTTAGTTTAAAGGTTAAACCACAGCTCGTACCAGTTTGTATCAGTAGTTACAAAGTTATCCTTCTCAAAACAATGTGTTCATACCACATCTAAATAAGGTATTACCTGTTATTCTCAAGATTTGTGTTTTGTGGAGCTCATTTCTCCACATTGCTTGAATTCTGTGAGAATGTATGTTCAGCCCCACACAGTGTCAACCATCAGAAATACATCATTTATGTCAGCTCACAAATTCCACGTTTTAATGGATTGTTTGTTCCAACTGGTTTACCGTGTACTGTCTGAAAATGTCTGACATGCTTCAGTCAAAATAAGACTAAATTCTCATATTGTCTCCTGAGATGTTTTCTTGCAGCTGATTTTAAACGACTTAATGAGGCTCTCCACTCCTTCTGCAGGACTTGTTTTCAGAGAAGCTTGTACACAGAAATTCCTGTAACTCTTGAAGAAAATGTTTACAATTCAACCCTTCATTTTACGACAACATGCAGATACCAAGTTGTTAAAGAGCTGGACTATCAGTACCAACCATCCCTGAGTAACTTGGCTATCTGGGTGGTTTAGACATCAGTTGCTCCCGTGCTTTCCTCTGTTACATATCGCCACTTTGAACTCTGGGCAGTTTTCTTTTAATTCTAAGGCTAAGCCTTTTATAAACAGCTGGTTATAAAAGCAAATTTTAAACTAAAATAAGTGATTATTTATTCTATGCTGGCTTTGTTAATGATGCATTCGTTCATGATGAATAAAAATGGATATAATTTCCATTAATGTCTGGTGTAAAAAGGTTAAACATCAGCAATGTAGGTTAGGTTTAGGTTTATTTGTCATATTCAGATTAAAGGCTCCAGTATACAGCCGCGTATGTCCGTTCACGCGTATGTAGGCGTGTACGGTACGCAGAGGGTTCAGACATGATACTCCAGCGTACACCCCGAGCAGCTTCAGAGCAGATTCACAGACAAGGGGCGTTTACCTTCGGGACAAATTGAGGTCGCCGATTGGTCATTTGCTGACACGCCTACTGGATTGATTGACAGGTCAGAAAAAAGAAGAGAAAAAAAAGCGAGCGCTGGCAGCCTCCGCTGCAGCGGTGTTCTGTGTTTATATGTTGTTAATAAAAAGATCTAAAAATTTAAAAAAAAAAACAGGGAGCGCTAGCTCTACAGCCCACACATCAGACCAGCCGTCCAGGAAATCTTCAGACCCTCCCGCAGCCATGCTGGACCTGAGTTTAATTTGCTCGTGACAAATTCCTTCATTTCTCACCATTTCAGTCATGGCATCAACGGAGGAGGAAGAGATCACTGCCTCTTGACAGAAAAACAAAAGAAAACGCCAGATCAGGGATGAAGAAGGGGAATTTAATACATTGGTGTCTCATACAAAACAGTCCATCACTGGGCAGTTTATTGTGCTACACCGCGTATGCGGTCGTAAAAATGTGAGCTTTGCACAGAGGGTACGCTGGGGGGTACGCACGCAGAGGTACGTGCGTACCTCTGCGTATGGATGTACGCAGCAGTATACTGGGGGCTTTACACATGGTCAGCAATAAATGCTCAGGACGAGAAGAACTCTCTCGACTCGCCAAAAAAACAACAAGAAATGCCAAAGCATGCAACAAAAGTACAAAAACAAGGCGCAAAACGTGAAAAAGAAACACATCTACAGCAGCAGCACAGTCCTAATAGCAGAGTGGTTCTGTTGGCAATGAGGTACTCTTAGCAACGTGGTCCCGTTAGCAGCATGGTACTGTTAGCAGCGCAGTCCCGTTAGCAACATGATACTGTTAGCAGCGCAGTCCCGTTAGCAGCATGGTACTGTTAGCAGCGCAGTCCCGTTAGCAGCATGGTACTGTTGGCAGCATGGTACTTTTAGCAGCGCAGTCCCGTTAGCAGCATGGTACTGTTAGCAGCCCAGTCCTGTTAGCAGCATGGTACTGTTGGCAGCACAGTCCTGTTAGCAGCATGGTACTGTTAGCAGCATGGTACTGTTAGCAGCATGGTACTGTTAGCAGCGCAGTCCCGTTATCAACATGGTACTCTTAGCAGCATGGTCGGGTTAGCAGCATGGTCTCGTTAGCAGCATGGTCTCATTAGCAGCATGGTCCCGTTAGCAGCATGGTACTGTTAGCAGCATGGCACTGTTAGCAGCACAGTCACGTTAGCAGCATGGTCCTGTTAGCAGCATGGTACTGTTAGCAGCACGGTACTGTTAGCAGCACGGTACTGTTAGCAGCACGGTACTCTTAGCAGCATGATCTCGTTAGCAGCATGGTCCCGTTAGCAGCATGGTACTGTTAGCAGCATGGCACTGTTAGCAGCACAGTCACGTTAGCAGCATAGTCCCGTTAGCAGCATGGTACTGTTAGCAGCACGGTACTGTTAGCAGCACGGTACTGTTAGCAGCACGGTACTCTTAGCAGCATGATCTCGTTAGCAGCATGGTACTGTTAGCAGCGCAGTCCCGTTAGCAGCATGGTACTGTTATCAGTGCAGTCCTGTTAGCAGCATGGTACTCTTAGCAGCATGGTCCCATTAGCAGCATGGTACTGTTAGCAGCATTGTACTATTAGCAGTGCAGTCCCGTTAGCAACCTGGTACTCTTAGCAGCATGGTCCCGTTAGCAGCATGGAACTGTTAGCAGCATGGTCCCATTATCAGCATGGTACCGTTAGCAGCATGGTCTTGTTAGCAGCATGGTCCCGTTAGCAGCATGATACCGTTAGCAGCATGGTCCCGTTAGCAGCATGGTACTGTTAGCAGCATGGTACTGTTAGCAGCATGGTACTGTTAGCAGCGCATTCCCGTTAGCAGCATGATGATAATAATGACTCTAGCAACAGACGATGATTGCCCTCCAGAACCGGGTCTGGCAGACATAGAACGTCCAAGGTTTTCCCACAGAACTGAATTGTTCCATAGAGTTGGGTCTGTGCTGGCAGATGGAGGATCAAGTAGACGGCCGCCATGACAGGCCTGAGCCCGAGGCTGAAAGGAGGCCATGAACTGAACCACGATGTCATGATGGCAAGGCAGCGACACAGAAAACTACAAAAGTGTGTCGCGGTCATACTCGTAGCGTGGGTGTACAGTGTAAGAGCAAAAAAAGTTTAAACAAAAACAGGGACAAAAAAAGAGCAAGTCAAAGCGGAGCTCCCGTCAGTGCTACCATACTGCAGTGCACGTGATGTCACACAATGTATTTGTATATCAAAAGACACAAAGTACTGATATATGGGTATTGGCTCTTTTTATTTGATGTAACGTGAATATTTTTTGCAGTTATTAAAGCCAAAGAGCTGTTTAAATTTTACCCTCCTGACGTACAGTAAATGCAGCACTATTTAATTAACGTTGGAGTTGAGTAAACACAAAGAGGAAGAGATGGGAAGGTTTTCTTCTCATACTTTGTTTTATTCTTCAAAACGTTGGTTACGTACTGTAACCCCAGATTCTATGAATATAGGCGTAGCCCTTTAAGGCTGTCGCTGATGGGTTTATCCCGTTATGCGCAAGCATCATACTGAAAAAATTAGTCCACGCCCACCTGCTGTGTGGGCCCCACCCGATCCGTATAAATTACATTAAGAGCGGGTAATCTGCTCCCATTTTTCTTCAGCAAGCTAGTACTATAAATAAAACAACTGACCTTTCATCGAGATGTCCAGCTCCAGCACCATCCGC